GGCTCTGTTAAGCACTGCATCAGTAGGGGAATAATTCTGCTGTCCAAAAGGAACGCTGGGGGATTAAAGTTCCTGTGCTGAAACTCTACTTGTTTTCTTACAAAGACCGCTCCAAAACTTTTATCATTAATAGTTCCTCCACATGCTACAATAAAGTTGCTTCTTCTTGCTTTCATTGGTAGCATACTTATTCTTTAATATTCTTCCATAAAGCTAACAGGAACACATACAAGCAGAGGAGTCTTTTTTCATCAAAGGGTCCTAGGGCCCAGTATTTCACTTGACCTAAACTGCTCTCAGATGCAGACAGACAGACTTGCCTCAAACTCCCTCCTCCACCAACAACCAGCCTCAGGAGAGGCCAAAACCAGCACTGCTGCCAGGAACCGCGGAGCAGAGCTCACACCAGTATCTGTGCACGGCTCCCAGAGGGGACTGGGAATTGACCAGAGGCCCACGCCAGAGAAAGTTCTCCTGGGGGAAACCTTAGGCCAGTTTAAGTTATTTTTGTTCTGTTCAAAAGGGGGAAAAAAAAAAACACCCAAGTTTGTTGAACCATACACACCTCAAAACCTATTTCTGTGCTTTTATTACACACACAATGCTGTTGCAGAACTCTCGGAACCTGCTTCCTTTACAAAACACTCCCGTGCTCATTCTTCACATGTAGATCAACTTGGTATTTAACTGTCGTAAGAACACCTCTGAAAAAAATCACATGTTTCATCTAAACATTGTCAAAATAAACTCCATTTGCTCATTGTTTCCAAAATAAGCAATACTCTTTTCCAGCATCCACCTGACAAAGCTTAACTGGAATCAAAATGAAAGAAATAAACATATCTCTTAGTGTGAGCTTACTTCGCAGTGCTTTCAGAGACCAGGGCAAAGAATAAAGAATCCTTCTTAGATAACTAAGTTGTGGGGGGGGAACAGCAATGGATTTATACAGCTGCGCTTCCCTTAATTCTACCTCAAATATTTACACCACCGTGGCTAAGTTGAGGTATAAAATGGAAAAGTGAGTCAAAAAAGTAATAAACAGTCAAATAATTAAACAGTAGCAGTCTAAGGAATACGAATTTACTGTAAAGCAAAAAATAAATATTTCTTCAACCCGAGGTTCGCCAGCATCTTAATTTGGAGCTCATGTCCCCAAACACTTTCTTTTTTTCTTTCAGTCTCACTAGCCTCCCCGCTTCCTACTGCTGCTGCACCATTAACATATCCCTCCCCCACAAATTGTGCCCTGTATGCTTGGAAACCACATTTCTCCCTTCACCAAAAAGGGACAGCATTCACTGTGACCACGGCTACGCCGGTACACCCACAATGGTTCCATCGGCAGGGCCAGACACCGGTGGGTAATCCTGGCACCAACTTGTTCTGTGGCTTTTTGCCGTTTAATAAGGAAGCGAGCAGTGATCAGCCTAAAAAGCAGATATTTAAAACAGAGAGAGTCTCCTTATAAGTTAAGTTTAAAAGCTGTCTGTAGAATCCTTAGTAGGAAACAAACATGTCCCAATGCACACTCATTGAATGCGATTCTTTTTTCCCCCCAAACTGATGAAATGTGCCGACATTCAGTACATCCCGTGGAAACTGTCTGTGTAAGCTGCACGAGGATAAAGCAAACCATAGATTTGCAACAGCAGCAGCTACGCCAGAAGATCTCACCTGTTTCAGCTGCAACTTTGCCCTTTCCAAAGTGGCCTTCAACCTTACAAAGAACTTAAACCACCCGGTTGGTAACAACAGCGTAACTGGAACTACTACATATATATTACAATAAAATTTCCACTACTGTTCAAACTAGACTCCCTGATGGGCTGGTGTACTCTTGCTAGAAAGTTAGTACAAGATTGAACAAAGGCCTGCGCACTCCAGCTGTGCTCTCAGGATAGCATCAAAGGACTGCTAAAGGGAAGAATATGGAAATAAAACCACCAAAAACATTTACACTTGGGCTTTTCTTCATCTCGGCTTCTTAAAAATATAGGAAAAGCAGTAGCTTTTGTAGTTCAATCGGTCTCTTATCCACTAACAGACTACATAGACCAAGTTGTGAAATAATAATGATGTCTCTAATACATCGGGAACTGAAGAGACATCTATGTCTCTCATAATGGTACTGAAATCGCTAGCACGAACCTTCATACTTAATTTCCACTACCTCTCAAACTGAATTATCTTCCAGATTTTTGCTCTTCTTTCTCCAATACAACCATAATTGTCCTATTTGTACACAGTGACCCATTTTGATCAAAATGGGTCTTCTGACAAGAGTGTCCACTGATAGGACAAGGGGAAATGGGTTTAAGTTGAAGGAGAATAGATTCAGATTAGATCTTAGGAAGGAATTCTCCAGTACAAGGGCGGCAAGACTTTGGAATAAATTGCCCAGAGGTGTTGTGGCTGCCCCCTCCCTGGAGGTGTTCAAGGCCAGGTTGGACGGAGCCTTGAGTAGCCTGATCTAGTTGAGAGGTGGCGTCCCTGCCCAGGACAGGGTGGTTGGACTAGATGATCTCTAAGCTCCCTTCCAGCCTAGGCCAGTCTAGGATTCTATGAAAATACAATATATATGGTACAGGATGAGATATTTCCCCATGCAGACGCTGACTATGTCAGTTAACTCATCCTTATGCTACGTATGCACTGAAATTCTTTTTCATTCAAGCCAAAGTTTCCTAAGCATTAATTAAAAAGCTGCCTAACTCTTATGCAGCAACTTGCTTCTATTGCTGTTCTACTGGCCTTACCACATCATCTTTTCTCTTCATAAATGAGGTACTTACACAGCCCACAAGTTATTTCCTCAGCTTAACCACTTAAAAAAAATATTTAAGAATAGCGTTCATTCTGTAGTTGCTAACAGAATTCGGCCTTCATCAAGTCATAGATGTCAGTAGTCTGCGCTGCATCCATTTTACAAGAGCTATCACTAAACTAGAAGTTTTCTCATACTTTGAAAAACCAACTGGTAGTATATCCACACCCACTCCGAGGTACATACCCACAAATATACTGAAAAGCTTACTAACACAGTTTTGCATTCTCACCAATGCTAGCATCCTCAAGAGCTTGGCCACGCTGCGTCACTCATCACATTAACACTGAAATCCAGATGAAGATTTTATACTTTTCTGTTATAGAACAACTAAAATTAGAAAGAATGATGAAACGGCCAGTAAAACAGATTTTTTTTTAAAAAAAAAAGCATTAAGGATCAAAGGCCCTTTTCCTCCAAGGCACCTAAGTCTTTCACAAATTTACTTCTACAACCTTCAGCAAGTATTATCAAAAAAGACAGCATTTAATGCAGGCAGGCCCTACTAGAAAAGCAAATAAACTTGCCTGGGGTAACAGACATTAATAAAGAAGTGCATCTGTGTACAGAAACACTGAAAAAAAAATTAAATCAATTACAATCTTGCCAAAGGGCTGAACACTGACTACGGTTGATTTTGCTTGGTGTTCAGAATTCTACCTATAAGCATTTCAGATCCGTTTACAGTAAATTAAACTTGATATAAAGAACTAGATACTTTAAAAGAGAGAAGGCTAAGAATAAAGACGTTTTCTCTATATCAGGTACTATAAACCAAAAATACAACCACAAGTTCATAATTTTAACAGGAAATGCTTCTTAAAAAATTCCTCAGTGTGAGCTGAACTCTACTCAGTTTGAGGCACAATATGAAAACAGTAAAAGCACTGGATTTGAATACAGATTTTTATCTAACCAATATTTACCAAGTAGGTAACATGCAGAGCACCTGGGAAAGTAAAATGTTTCTGCACGTTCGATGAAGGGTTAGACAGAAGAGATACCAGAAAAAGCACCTTTGTATCTTTTGCTGTCAAAGTGAGTGAGAGAAACTCCTTGGAGACCGTGATCTACCTTGCTGCTCAGAAGCATCCATCACTGGCTAAACAGCAGAACCATTCAAAGGAACCTGTAGCTACGCTTGCCTGAACTCATAATTCCACCTGAATTCATGCCCCAGCCCCAAATTCCCTAAGTATTGAGATTGCCTGTATGCAGAGAAACTAAGCTAAAACTGAAAAGACAGCCAGCCCCAAAATCACCTTCCCATGAAGAGCAGGTGATTCATTGCCCAGCTGTTCATGAGCACAGAGCAAGGAAGAAGCCCGAACCACATGACTCAAACCACAGTCAGGAATAAATCTCATTAAGTATCCAAGAACAATTTAATCTCTAAGTATCACTTCATAACTCAGATGCTTTAAATTTTCAGTGTGCTCATTACAATCAATTTATCCATGAATCACAACTGAAGTAGTTAATTGCAAAATAGAACAAATTTAATGGGAATCTTTTGTGATACATACTACCACACATCGATAAATTCCCCAGGACAACACATCCTTAAACCCACCACTTGAATTATAAATACAATAAGAGCAATAGCTTGTAAGTAATCTTTCAGATAACAGACTTGAATCTCTTAGAAGGATCATCTGCTATCTTAACCTCAACAACAAGGGGGGGTGGGGGGAACAAAAAACAAACCCTCAAACAAACAAACAATCACCCAATCTTTTGGCCAAACACATTTGTTCTTGGTTCTGAAGGATATCCAATGAATTGCTCTGTACCCTTGCACCAGAAGGAAGAAAATACTCCCTAGACGTAAGAAACACTAGAATTAAAAAAGGAAACCTCCAGAAAAACAAGAAACACAGATCAAGTATATTCTTACAACTAAAATACACATGTCAGTATTAAGCTGCATCACACAGATTTAAGAATCTTTGGTCTACGTTACATACAACAGTGTGAAAAATGCATGGACGACACAGCACTTAACATTAAACATAATATAGACAGTGAAAGACAATAGTAAAGGATCCGTTTCTGAAATCCATGGATGATAGAAGCTAAGAAAAAAACCAAAACACAGAAACCAAGAAGCAAAGGAAAAGCTCCCAAGAACATTCACACACCAAGTAAAAGAAGAACAACTTGAACTGCTCACCGCATATTCTTCTGGCGTAACCTTCAGAACATCAAACACCACTGCATCAAAGCTCTTCTTCAGTTCAGCCGAACCTTTGTCACTCAACGATTCAGAGCTGCTACTCTTCTGCAGAAACAAACAAAAACACTGAACATATTTTGGTTTTCTCCTTTTTTTTTTGTTTGTTTTTACACTCCCAAAAGCAAAACTTCTGTTCAAACATGTCTGTTCACAGAATTTTTCTACTTGGCAAATGATCAATTAAAAGTCAGTCACAGGACATACTCTCTCCTGACAAAGACCACTAAAATCAGAGACACCAAAACTGACTTCAATGGATTTCAAAGGCATTCCTCAAAACACAACAGGTATATTTCAGTGCATAATCGAATTCCAAATTTGTTGACAGGAAAGTTAATAATAATGTTAATACAGTCACACTGAATTTCAAACAACAAAAAAAAAAACTGTGGTGACGAAAAAGACATGGTCTTCCCCAAAGGAACAGTTAACATCAAAGAATAGTATCAATCTCTTCCCATTTCTCTTAGAAGCATTAAAACTTAGAAAAATCAGGGAGAGTTACATACGTGTTCCTGTTGAGGACACAACTTGTGCTGTATTTTTGTTTTAAATACTAGTAATTCATATTTGCATAAAACACCAGATTCTAGAATATTATTCTATGAATCCTTATCTACAACATAGTTAGCTTCTTTGCAAAATAAGAATGTGGTTCAAAATAATAACAATTTGTTTGAAGTTAACACATCACATTGCTTTCATGTTTCATATATTGTTTTCACATGACACACATGAAAACAGCGTAACTGTGTTACAAGTAATTGCTTCCTCTAGTATATAGACGCAAACCTAGAATCTGTTCAATCATTACAAGGGTTTTTCACATGGAGATCAAGCCATTTCATCCAGATGTGCACATAACATCTGAATCCTAGGTATACTTATTGCAGAAATAGGCACAGAGCTGGCAACCACTTTGCTGCTACACACTCTCCTCTGAAGACCTGAAAGGCTAATGCAAGTTTCTTGCTTTTGGAAACCTGACACAGAACAAAACCTCAACTAAAAAGAAATAAGGTAAGACGTGGACAAAACCATCATGAATGGCCAGGTACTAGAGCAGATAACTGCATCAAATTTAATTCCTCTTCTTCAGCAAAGTACACTTGCCTGAAGTCCAGCACGGCACCTGCATGCTTCAGCAACAGCACAGCCTCAATGTAAGCGCTAACGGGAGCTTCCACAAGAGTTTTGCTAATACTTTGTTTGGAGAGATTTAAGAGAAATCAATACTGGTGCACACAGCTTATTCTTGCCGTTGCTGGGAGGCTCCAGCTGAGCTGTAGCAAAACACACTCAGCACCAACCAAGACCTGCCTTGTCCTACACTGGAGACTTAAGCACTCTCATGTCCTGGGTTTGAGCTAAAACCCAGTCCTATTTAGTGAATTTTACTTTTCAGTTTTAGTCTCTTCTAAAAGGCTGCACTTTCTGAAGTTTGCAGCACATTTCTGCAGACAGTGTGTGCTACCGGCAGTG